CCCCCGCCCCCCCCCCCCCCCACCGCCCCGCCCTGACAACAAAGGACTACATTACCCAATAACCCGTTTTGACACAGGTGGACCTACGCGGCCTCTCCTTCGGCCCCTGCCCCCCGCTTTGCCCGATCCGGCCCTCCCGAAACCCGCGGACTACAGGTCCCGGTAGGCTTCGGCGCTCGTCTGACTGCCTGTGCGCACACCGGGCCCGCCCGAGGGAGCGAGCCTGGCTGTGTTTATCTCGCTGGGGACTGAGCCGTCGGTTGGCGCGCAACCGGTTCTAGGCTGCAGGCAGCGCGAGGACCCACGGCCCCGCCCCGGCCCGGCCTGGCAGGTAGCCCGGGATGGGTTGAGGGACAAGGAAAATTGAAGGGGCTGGGGGCGCCCATGCCTAGAGCTGGAGTCGTGGGGGAGGGGCCTGAGAGTGATGGGTGGGGGTGGGGAGGGAACTAGGGGGATGACGGGAAAGGAGAGTGTTAATGGGGAAAGAAGGGCTGGGGGAGGATGGTGAGGTAACGGGTGGGAGAGACCTGGTGGCTGGAGGAGGCACTGAAGGGAATTGGGAGGAAGAATGGGTTATGAGGAGAACGAGGCAGCTGAGGATAATGGAAGAAAGGGGGGGGGGGAGGGCTGGCGTTGTGGGGGAGGGGAGGTTGGACTGACGGGAAGAAGATAGGGATAGCGTTGTATACAGGGAGGCATATCTCCGGCTGAAAGGGGTCAATGAATCTTAGCTTTTTCCCTCAGTGGAAGAGGGAAAATGGAGGGCTGTCGGGGTGGAGCTTGGAGTGGTGGGAAGGGGAAAAGGAGAAAACCGCAAAGCTCTCAGGAGATCAAGAAGGACCAGAAATGGGGAGTGGAAATTGGGAGAGACCAGGGAAGGTGGGTAGGTAGGTACGAGAAGGGAATTGAAGAAGCTTGAGAATGCTGCGATGATGGAACATCCGGGAGACCCAGAGAGAAGCAGAGCCCCTGAGACCTTGGGGACTTGTCCTCCATGAGGTTGAGTTCTCTTGATGGAAGAGAAGCTGAGATTCTCTCCACCTTTGGATAGAATTGCTTCTCTCTTCCCCTGTGAATTTTTTACCTTTACATAGCTGAACGGGGGAGTAGAAGTTAGGAGGGAAGGTGAAGGACTCCCATTCTTAAGCCCTTCAACCTCCTGTCTGTCCCCACATGCCCAGATCCACGATCTTTTGGATCGAGGGCAGGGTAGTGAAGTGAGAGTGGTTTCCTACTGGAGCTATTTCAGGTTTGGTAGGGTGGCTGTTGAAAGGGAGGGGTGGAGGGTTCAGGGAGGTTAGGTGAGGCTGGCAAGCCAGCTAAAAGCCATGTCTCTTTCTTGCAAGGGGCCTCCCTTACTTGTGCTTTCTCTGTGCCTGAGGTTCTGCCTGGCTCTTCCCTCTGCCAGGGCTTCTTGTAAAGAGAGCAGATGATCCACCCAAACCCAGCAGGTGCCTGCCAGGGACGGCAGTGCCAGTTGCAGGAAGATTTGCCTGACAGAGCCTTCAAACGTACCCATTATCACTAGGTTGGCAAGTTGTCTTTAAAAGACCAGGACCTTCATGCCTGGGTCTTTTTCTTGTCCTGCCCATGGTTATTTGTGCTTCCCTTCCCCTTTCCAGTGCACGTCCCCACCTCATCCCCCCTTTCAGGGACCCAAGTGAGAGAGGAGCTGTTAGAAACAGCTTGTTTTATACCCCAAAGGCAGGGCTGGGAAAGTGACAGGAGAAAACCCTTCTCCCCACCCCCACCCCCTCAGTCCCCAGCAGACACATACCTTTCTGGCTTAAGTTCCTAGTCTTGGCAGCATACCAGGCACAGCTGTCAAAGGAACTCCTCGTGCCTGTGAGGGGCCCTGGGTGACCACAATGACAACTGCTCAGCTTGACAAGAGCTTCCTGTGAGGGGCTAACCATCCATGGTAACGTGGAAGCCCCTGTCCTGGATCACTCCTACCCTGTCCTGGATAGAGGGACTGTTCCACTCTAAAAGCCTAAAAGCTTTTCTGCTTGGAAGCACCCATGCCAGCTTTCAATGGACCGTCTGGGGCTGGCTGTGCTATTAATAGCTCTGAGTATTTTGAGATCCCTCTCCCCACCTTAAAGAGCACAGAGATTCTTAGAGAGGTGGCAGTAAGCGGAGCAGAGAGCCAGAGAGACAGGAGAACACACCGGCCTGGGAAGGGGGCTTGGAGCTTGTGCCAGGCCAGGGTCAGAGTGGAGCCTCCATGAGTAGGGGGCGACCACACTGAGAGCCTTGATCAGCAGATTCTGAGCTAGCAATCAGGACGAAGTGGCCCCACCCTTTGCTGTTGGAGAACACAGGGCCAGGGCTAGCTCCCTGACCTCAGCAGCTCCCCTGGGGCAGGGCCAGCCAACTGAGCCGTGAGGGGTGGTGTGGGAGGGCCACCAGGGTGACACTTAGAGGCAAGGGCTGGCCCGGGGCAGAGTCACAGTGAGCCAGGCAAAGGCCTTGCCTGAGGAGCCTGTGGCCCTAACTTGTGTGCAGGGAGCAGAGGCAGCAGGCCGTGCCGGGGGGGCATGTTGCTGTAATCAGTGGCCCAGGGGATGTTACGGTGGACAGTGCACCTGGAGGGCGGGCCCCGCAGGGTGAACCATGCTGCAGTGGCTGTCGGGCACCGGGTCTACTCCTTTGGGGGTTACTGCTCTGGTGAAGACTATGAGACACTACGTCAGATTGATGTGCACATTTTCAATGCAGGTAAGCTAATGCTGAGACCATCCCTGGGTGTCTGTCAGGGAGGGAACGGGTGGCTGAATGAGGTTTGGTGGTGGATGCAGTGGCCAAAGGGATGGGGGAGTGAATATCTGGTTTGGGAAAAGGTGGACAGCCTGTAGGGATGTTCCCAGGGCTGAGCAGAATTGTGCCTACAGTGTCCCTGCGTTGGACAAAGCTGCCCCCGGTGAGGCCCGCCGTCCGCGGGCAGGCTCCCGTGGTACCCTACATGCGGTATGGACACTCAACCGTCCTCATCGACGACACAGTCTTCCTTTGGGGTGGGCGGAATGACACTGAAGGGGCCTGCAATGTGCTCTATGCCTTTGACGTCAGTGAGTATGGGTATCAGAGAGGCTGTGTTTTGCCAAATGGTGCTTCAGGGGGCTGGGAAGGGTGTGAGCTGAGGGCTTTGGGGAAGGGCACCCCGGAGTCTAGGAGGGAATGTCAGAGGTTGCTTACCTGGCCCGTTCTCTCACCTCCTTCAGATACTCACAAGTGGTCCACACCCCGAGTATCAGGAACAGTTCCTGGGGCCCGGGACGGACATTCAGCTTGTGTCCTGGGCAAGACTATGTACATTTTTGGGGGCTATGAGCAGCTGGTAGGTCTGGGAAGAAACTAGAGGTTTAGGGTGGGGATGAGAGAGGAAGGGAAATTGAGGATGGTGGGATGGGAGGCTTGGTTTGTTGGCAGGTTTTGAAGGGAGGGATGGAGGGTCAGAGCGTGACCACTGACCGCTTCTTATATTCCTTCCTCCACTTCCTTCCTTTCTCTTGCCACTCAGGCGGACTGCTTTTCCAATGACATTCACAAGCTGGATACCAGCACCATGACATGGACCCTTATCTGTACAAAGGTCTGCCTCTTCTTCTTTCTTCCAGTTCCCTACCCTCAATTGAAGAAACCATAGGAAGTTCACACTGAGAGTAGATCCCCTCCCAGCCTCCATTCTGACCCCCGTCCCCGTCATCTCTGCTTCTGCCCAGGGCAACCCTGCACGCTGGAGAGACTTCCACTCAGCCACGATGCTGGGCAGTCACATGTATGTCTTTGGGGGCCGTGCTGACCGCTTTGGGCCATTCCATTCCAACAATGAGATTTACTGCAACCGCATCCGCGTCTTTGACACCAGGACGGAGGCCTGGCTGGACTGTCCGCCCACTCCAGTGCTGCCTGAGGGGCGCCGGAGCCACTCAGCTTGTGAGTGTCTGTTACATCCCTGTGGAGGCCCCTTCCCGCCCATTGTCCTCACTTTTAACATTCCTCTCTCCTTCCAGTTGGCTATAATGGGGAGCTGTATATCTTTGGTGGTTATAACGCAAGGCTGAACCGGCACTTCCATGACCTCTGGAAGTTTAACCCTGGTAAAGAACACTACCTTTAGGGGAAAAACAAGAAGCAATTAAGGGGGGAGGAAAGAAAAGAAGAATCCTGAGTAGGTAGGGGGAGAGGGGTGGAGAGGATATCCAGACTGGGCAGGTATCGAACCTCCATATAAACTTCTCTTTAGTGTCCTTTACCTGGAAAAAGATTGAACCGAAGGGGAAGGGGCCATGTCCCCGCCGGCGCCAGTGCTGCTGTATTGTTGGTGACAAGATTGTCCTCTTTGGGGGTACCAGGTTTGGAGGAGAGGGGGAGGGCTCAGGGAAGGGCCTAAGTCTGTGACTCACATGGGAGGTATTTGAGCAAGAGGCTCTTTCCTCCTTCCTTCATCTCTTTTTTGATCCCTACAGTCCATCTCCTGAGGAAGGCCTGGGAGATGAATTTGACCTCATAGATCATTCTGACTTACACATTTTGGACTTTAGTAAGTACACTTATCCAAAGGGCTGCTGCCGTCAAGGTCCTTGTCTTTGGGTGGGGACATCCAGGATTGAACCCTTTCCATGGCTTTGACCATCTCCCTCTTCCCCACTGTTCCTTTAAAGGCCCTAGTCTGAAGACTCTGTGCAAACTGGCTGTGATTCAGCATAACCTGGACCAGTCCTGTTTGCCCCATGACATCAGGTACAGTGAGTGGTTGGAAAGGAGGGATTGGTTGAGGGTGAGTGGGCAGCACAGGCATGACCTGATTAGCCTGATCTCAGGATGGAGGAGACAGGAGTTTCTCTTCTGCTGGAGGTGGAGTGTACTTGTAGAGAAGGAGACGGAAGGAGATATAAAACTCAGTTGGGTGAAGTATATGGGGAAAAAACCCAGTTTTTTTTTAAACAAGCTCAGAAGCATCACTTCCTAAAACCTGAGCCTATACCATTGTTTTGTTAACGTGCTGAGAAAGTTTGATTAAATTTTAGAACCTAGCTGCAAAGGAAAGACAAATTTAGGAGCCTCTGGATCACATTCGTTTCAGAATTAAAGGGTGCTTCTTAGCTACTTCCCTTTGAATTCCATTCTTAGGTCCAAACCAAGCACCAAAAGTTATTTTGTATATAATAATATTCTGTTATTTTATATATTTTGTGCTCTTCTGGGTCATTCTGTGACATTTCCCTCTCCTTGTATCAGTTCTGCTTAGCTCTTACTTGCTGAGGGTCCGAGTGTTCAGTGTTTGGTGATACATAGTATACAAGGCTGAACTGATGGATCCTAGGCTGGGCCAGGATTGACACATGTGCAAGTACCTAGTACCAAGCACACTGTACTGAGGGTCTTGGCATAAGGTGATACGTGGTAAATCTTTGTAGAATGACAGAATTGTCAAAAAGAGAGGGATTTCATTTTAATATGGTGGATGGGTGGGAAGGCCTCAGGGAGGATAGGAGAGCCAAGACAGGGCCTGAAAGGGATGGGAGTTGAGAGCAAAAATGAGCATTGCTGGTGGGGGAGAAGGCAGAGGGGCTGTCTGGTTGGGTCCCAGCAGAGGAAAGGTAGATTGGGAAGTTTCTTGAGATGTGTACACAGATGCTTTTCTCCAGGTGTTGGGCACAAGAATATATAGATAAAAAGTCCACATGAGCTTGCAGGGGGAGGAGTGGGTGGTAATGGATTTGGTTGTGGGTGGGGTCTGATTGTTAAACTTAGTAAGGCTGTAAGGAAGGGGTGGCTGTGGGTGGTTGAGCTTTAGGAAGTTGAAGGGACTGGTGTGTTCATAGCTTTGTTCGAGCAATTCTGGGCTTGGGGGTAGAGGCTCCACCTTTTGTCCTTTCTGCCTCTCATTGTTGGCCTTCCAGGTGGGAGCTGAATGCCATGACCACCAACAGCAATATCAGCCGCCCCATCGTCTCCTCCCATGGGTAGGAGGAAGTTTCTGCTGCTTCCCCTCCTGAGCCTGCTGTTGTCTTCACCACCCCTGCCCATCTCACCCGCCTGCCGCTATACCTCCACATGGAGTTGTTGGACTAGAGGTGTTTTCCGTGCTGTGAACTCGTTGGGGAGCTGTAGGGGGGAGAGCTAGGTTCCTCCTCCCTTGGGCCAAGGGCCCCTTCCCTTGGTGCTGTCCCATCCACCTCCTTCCAGCTGCTCCTGGGCCTCTGCTTTGCCTCAGGCCAGACAAGCTCTGCTGGGAAGTGAAGGGAATGGGGAGAAGGGAGAAGCAAGCAGTGTCTGAGCCTCAGAAGCTTCCCCCAACCCGTTTCCACCCCTCCCCCTGCTTGAGCCCTGAGCATTGATTGGGAGCTGAGAGGAGCTGCAGCTGTTGGCATGAAACCACCGCCTCCCTGACTTGGGGAGGCGAGGACCAGCAGATGATCCCTCCCTTCCCCGAGCTGTTGCTGTTCCCTGACGCTCTCAGCCAGCTCAGATTTTATAAAAAGGAATTAAAAACTTCTAAACGTGTGATGTTTTTGTGGAATGCGATGGGGATGGCAGGGTGCTAAGATTCAAGCTTTTCAGCCAAGAGCATTAAGAGACCAAATGCCACCACGGCCTGGCCCTAGTTTCCTTTCGGCGCGGAGTCCAGCGCCATGCGACGAAAAGGCGGCGGCATTCTTCTGAGCACGCGGCCACCCCGAGTCGGCGTGTCTGGCGCTTCCATCGTCACGTGGTGCAGACTCCGCCTCCGGAAGAGGCTGAGCGGCCCCTGTGGCGGCGGAAGTGGCGCCCTTTGTGCTCCCTGCGCTGCACGAGCGAATGCCGAGGGCGAGCGCCCGTTCCGCGGCGGCCGCCGGGTCTCCCCGCGGGGCCCGGGACGGCGGGGAGGACTGCGGGAGCCCAGGGCCCGGGGACTTGCAGAAGGGTGAGGGCACTCGCCGGGCGGAGCGCAGCGCGGGCGCCGGGGCAGGGGGCGGGGAGGAGGGCGGACGGCGGCGCCCGCCCCGCGGAGGGAGCTCACCATCCGGCGCGGGCTCCGAGCCTGCAGTTACCGTGAGACTACGAACTTCTCTGAAAGAGTTACACACGGCAAGCGCCCCCCAGCGCGATGGAAAGTCGGGAGGGAGAGGGGGTGCTTCCTGGGTTGGGATATCCTGAGCAGTTTCTTAAAGAGAGGGTGAGGGTTTTCCGCAGGGAGAAAAGGCTTGTGCAAATGCCCAAAGTCAGGAAGGGGCGTGGGTAGCTGGGGAAAGGTTAGTGGGTCAGATTTCAGCAAATTGCGCAAACATCGAGCATTACTGTATGCAAGCACCGTTCTAGATGCTGGAGATGCCCTAGTGAATAAAGCAGTCGAAAACTCCTGTCCTCATGGAGCTTACCTTTTAGGAAGGGCAGTAAAAAAAAAAAAAAAGTACGTTAATATATTAAAAGGCAATGAAACATGGAATTGTATATTTTAAAAGGATGAATTTTATGGTGTGCAAATTGTATCAGGTTTTCGAAAGGCCATAAGGGCTATGGAAAGAAAGTAGGGGAGGGGTTACAGTTTTAAGTAATCAGAGAAGGCCTCACTGAATAGGTGACATTGAGCAAGGGTTTGGAGGAGGTGAGGGGGCAAGCGATAAATATATCTGGAGGAAGTGTACCAGAGGCAGCATCCGGTGCAAAGGAGCTAAAGCAGGAACATTCCTTCCTGCTCAGGAGCTGCTAGGACGCTGCGGGGCGGGTGGTAGGGGTGGCAGCGCCCCACCCTAGGTCACAGAGGGACTTTCAGGCCCTTGTAAGGCCTATGGCTTTTACTCTGAGCAAGGTGGAAGCCATTGGGGAGTTTTGAGTTCTGGAGTGACATGGTCTAAAGTGTGTGTGTGTAGAAATTAGGTAGGTGTGATGAGATCAGATCTGCATTTCAGATACCTCTCTCAGGCTGAAGCAGACAGTGTAGTTTTGGGTTTTTTTTTTGAGAAAGATTAGCCCTGAGCGAACATCCGCCGCCAGTCCTCGTTTTGCTGAGTAAGACTGGCCCTCAGCTAACATCTGTGCTCATCTTCCTCTATTTTATGTGGGACGCCTCCCACAGCATGTGCTAGGTCCACACCCAGGATCTGAACAGGTGAAACCCAGGCCACCGAAGTGGAACATGCATACTTAACCACTGCGCCATTGGGCTGGCCCCAAGAGAGCATAGTTTTGAGAGGAATGTGACTGGAGGTTGAGAGAGCAGTTAGGAAGCTAGAGCACTGACTGAGGTGAGAGGATGGATGAACCAGAATACTGGCAGTGGTAACGGAGCTTGGGAGACAGAGGCCCTGTGGGGAAACCTGTGAAGGAACAATTTAAGAGAGAGAGTGACTGTGGCTTGGTCCATTTCCAGCCTTACATAGACACCTTCCTTAGCAAGGTGAGGCACCAGGTAGCTGGGACAGTTGGGGAATTAGGTTCAGTGTAGCACCATTGCAACCTCTGCCGCCCAGGGGCTGGTAGTGATTGGTCTGATGGGGATGTTGGAAAGGATCAATTACCTAAGGAATGAAGCGGGGATGATGTCCTTACAGCAGTGGGAGATGCTAAGCTGAGTTGTGTGTCCCCGACCCCCCAACTTCCACAGGCACGTCTAACATGTCATTTGAGGAGCTGTTGGAATTGCAGAACCAAGTGGGGACTAAGACATACAAACAATTGGTAGCCGGAAAGAGCACTAAGAAGCAAGGCTCTAGACCACCTGTCCAAAATGCATGTGTTGCAGATAAGCACAGGTGAGCAGCAAGGCCTGTCCAGGAGTTGGAGAATACCTGGGACTTTGAGTGGGTGTCTGCTTTCTTGGGTAGCAAGTGGGAGGCCTTTGACCATAACTGGAGTCCTCTTAACTTGTCCTTTAATTTCTCTTTAGGCCTCTGGAAATGTCAGCCAAGGTCCGGGTGCCGTTTTTGCGTCAAGTTGTCCCCATCAGTAAGAAGGTGAGGTAAAGGCAGGAAGCACTTTCTCAGTGAAAGGAGACTGAACGGTTCTTTTATATTCTTTCTGTTCTCTCCAAAGGTAGCCCGGGACCCCCGCTTTGATGATCTATCAGGGGAGTATAATCCTGAGGTGTTTGACAAAACGTATCAATTCCTGAATGACATCCGAGCCAAAGAGAAAGAGGTCTGCAGCATGGGACTGGTTCATGGGGGTTTTGGGGTGGGAAACTGGGACACAGGTTAGAGAGTCAGGCAGAGGGGAGCGGGGAGCATGGTGGTGGGCAGATTTAATTCTTCTTCATTAATTTAACTTTCTCTGATTTGGTTCTTATATTCCGATCTTGGCTCATCAGTTTACGAGCTCTGTGACCATTAACGGGTTACTAACCTGTGTATCAGTTTTCTAATCATAAAAAGAGACGATTCGTATCTAATAGCGTTAGTGAGTTAATATATGTGAACCTCTTAGAATAATGCTTGGCACACATTTCTGTAACACTAACAGTTACAGAATGCTAACCATCATACTCATTTTCCAATGTGGAGCTTGTGAAAAAGCAGTTGAAGAAGCACCGTTCAGGGGAGGAGCATGAGAAACTGCAGCAGCTGCTTCATCGAATGGTGAGTGAGTCAGAATCGCAGGTGGGTGGTGAGAGCAGTTCAAGGCGGGAGGTGAGTCATAGTTCCTCCTGTTCACCCATCTCACCTATCCCATCTTTGTTTCTCAGGAGCAGCAAGAAATGGCACAGCAGGAACGAAGGCGGCAGCAGGAGCTGCACCTGGCCCTGAAGCAGCAGCGGCGGGCTCAGGCCCAGCAGGGCCATCGGCCGTACTTCCTGAAGAAATGTGAGTGGGACAGATCATTACAGGCTGGTTACAGGGACAGGGTGGCTCTAGTGGCAGGATACTGTGTTGGCGGGTTCGTTGGCTCCCTAAGGAAGGCGTGAAGGCTGGATCCCATGGTAACTTGGAGGAAAGTAGAAATAGCAGGGAGGAGTTATTTGTAACCATTCTTATATCTGTAATTAGATGATGGGCAGGGATTGTCGCTTTTATCTCTGTCCCCCCACCCCCCACATACGCTGGGCCAGGCACATAGAAGGACCTCGCTGTTGAAATCATAGAAACAGTCAGCCTGTTTACACACACTGGTGAACTCACGTGTCCCAGCATAGTGGTTGAGGATTACTGACCTGGGGAAGGGGAAAGAGGGGGGCTTCCTCATTTGCTTACCAACTTTCTTTCTCCCTGTCCTCTAGCTGAGCAGCGCCAGTTGGCCCTAGCTGAGAAGTTCAAGGAGCTGAAACGCAGCAAGAAGCTGGAGAGCTTCTTGAGTCGAAAGAGGCGCCGAAATGCAGGCAAAGACAGGAGACATCTTCCTTTGGGCAAGGAGTAATAAGGAACTGTTTCCAGCTCTGCCGCTGCCCCAATGAGAAATGGATCTGTGGGGACAGACTTGGGCTTGACCTCTTCTGCTTCTTTCCCATTCAAGGGCAGGGATCACAGCTGCTCTTGAACTAGGTTGGTTCAGAGAAGACTAGAGGGCTCTTGGAATGCCCCTAAGACTGGACAAGAGCAGCTCAGCTTCTACCATGCCACACTGCGTCTGTTTGGCTCTGGTTCATTATGTCTCTCGTGTTCTCTCATCCTTGCCTTAAACCAGTGATTCCATTACAGAAAGAAAGGGGCTAGTGAGTGACCTTGAGGCCTGTGAAGGCCATGGAGTCTGTCAATGGCTCCCAGGGCTGAGACTTTATGTGGCAGCCAGTTCATACATATCCTTGTCATTCTTCTTTTTATTATTTGGCTTTTTTTGTGGGGTTTGTTGGTGGCCTAGAACTACTATTTTAGTGAGCCACGTGTAGGGGTAGGCAACAAACCTAAGGCTCCTACAGAGTGAGAAGTCAGATCAGAGACCACTCTGCTAAAATCCAGAAGATGACACGATCAATTAAAAAGTGAACCAATCCCACAGCTCACCTACTTAGCTTTGGTTTGGGATGCGGGGGGAGATAGGAGGTGGGGACAAAAAGCTTCTCCAGTAATATGTAAGCACAGCTGGTTCTCAGTATTGTTGGGGTCTAGAATTCATACTGTGCATCCATGTAGACTGGAAAATCCTCAAGCTGATAACTCAGTTTAAAGTAGTCTCAGGTTAGTGATGCCTCCTGGTGCCTGGCAAAAGTAAATGCGTTTCTCTCTTGAGGATTATACTTTAAACCCAGGCCTCAAGGAATTCCTTCAGATAAAATTTCAAGGAATATAAGCTTAAAAACACCAAGCACACAAGGAAAGAAACCACCATGAGCGGTAGAGAACAATAGGTAACGGACCAGCAAAGACTGAGATGTTAGAAGTCTAAAATAGGAAATATAAAATGTCTTATATTTAAAGAAGTATGACTAATGAAAAGAATATCAAAAAGGACCAAATTGATTTGATAAAAAGTAAAACTTTTAAAAATGAAAAATATATTCTTTGGGGCCAGCCCTGTGGCCAAGTGGTTAAGTTTGCGCACTCCGCTTTGGCGGCCCAGGGTTTCGCTGGTTCGGATCCCGGGCACAGACATGGCACCACTCGTCAGACCATGCTGAGGCGGCGTCCCACATGCCACAACTAGAAGCACTCACAACTAAAATATACAACTATGTAATGGGGGGACTTGGGGAGAAAAAAGCAGAAAAAAAAATCTTTGCAGTTAGAAACTTTATTGTTAAGCAGCAGATTGTACACACCTAAAAGGAGAATGAACTGGAAGCAGATCTGAAGAAGCTATACAGATGGAGCCCAGGGATCCAGAGAAATGGAAACTAAGGAAAAGAGGTTAAAAAACATGGAAGGTAGAGTGAGAAGGTATAACACACATAATCAGTTCCAGAAGGAGAGAGTATTTTAAAGAGGCTGTGAGTTTTCTTGATAAAATTTGTAAGCTAAGACTCAGGCAACCCAGTTAATCCCAAGCAGAACTGAAAAAAGAGAACCCAGAACTCCATAAATCATAAGAAATTACAGAACATTAGAAAGACTAACATCTAAAAAGCAGTTGTCAAGAAAAGTAGAATTAGATGCTAGGACATCTATTGCTTGATGCTTCTGGGTTGGGGTAAAAGATACAGTTCTGATGACAGAAATGTGAGATGAAGGACAAAATGCGCTTCTTGCAGTGATTGTAAGCCCAGGCCTGCAGCTGCCAGGATAGTTTGCTCAGACTGAGTGAGGGGCTCAGTGCTACAGAGTCCCCACTGTCACGTGTCATCCTACTTTAAAGCCAAAGAACAGACTGGCTGGTAAAAGCAGGGAAAGACTATTCAAGTATGGAGCTCACAGAACCACTGAGAAGGCTGGAGAGCAGCTCAAAAAAAGGGAGGAGTGGGCTGGGGAATAAAGTGAGCACTTAAAGCCCTCTAAATCTGACCTTGGAACAAGAGTGTTGATGTGAAGATGTCACTGCTGCCACCAAGTTACCACTGTCCCCCTGCTTTGCTCTTGACAAATTCCCTGCAGAGGCATCTCATTAGCTGAGCTTTGGTCACTTGGCTGCAAGGAGGACACTGGGAAAGCAATCTGGTCCTTTATATGGTGGGAGGTGGGCTCTCCCTTCTCTCTGGGTTTGTGGTGGGGAGTTTCCAATCATGAGAAGGGAGTTCAGATGATGGGTGAACCAAAAAACCATGATGAATGCCTGCTGCAGGGCTGTATGTGCCCCCCAAGCCTCCAAACTGTTATTTCCCCATCAACAAGGACCCAGAGGAGACGTTGGAAAGCTCAGCAGCAGCTGTGGGTTGGTTTTGGTTTTATTGATAACAGCTTTATTGACATAATAATTCACATACCATACAATTTACTCAAAGTGTATAATTCATTGGTTTTTAGTGTATTCACAGAATTGTGCATCCATTACCACAATTTCATAACATTTTCGACACCCCAAAAAGAAACCCCTATATCCTTTAGCAGTCACTCCCCACTTTTTCCCAATCCCCCAGCCATAGGCAACCACTAATCTATTTTCTCTCTCTAGGTTTGCCCATTTGGGGACATTTCATGTAAATGGAATCAGTATATGGTTCCCTGTGTGCAAACCGGCTGTAGGGATATAAGGATTGAGGCTGTGAGGATGGTCTCACGAGGGGGTCAGGGTAGCAAACTTCTGTCCCCATGAGTCATCTGGGAAGTGTCTGCCCTGTAGGGATGGAAAGTTACGAGGGCAGAGGAAGAGGCTCAGGTCCTTACTGGCACTGGTGAGAGAAGGACAAAGTCAGGACTGCTCTTCTGCATGGTTAGATTTGGGCAGCTCAACCAGGCTGGTGTGGCGGTGGGGTGAAGGTGTGCTGAGGACAGCGGGCAGCACAGGAGCTGGGCTGCAGGCAGGAACATACAGTTTTGGGGCTAAAGCTGGTGTGTGGTTCCCTTAATAATTATTGGAAACTCATCTATTGCAGATGAGCACGTAGGTACCCTGGGGGAGGCTGAGGGGCAGGGTGACTGAGTGGGATGAATAGGGGGTTGAGCAAGTGCAGCTTGTAAGACTCATGGCCTACATCGCAGCCCACACAGAAGCTGCCCCCAGCACGGGGTGGCAGTGGGGGAGAGTCTCATCCTATCCTCTACATGCAGTCTATGCTGGCCTGGCTCCTGGAGCCCAGGGGCTCTCTGGGTTCTGGTGGGAAGGATGGGCTCATGAAGAGCACGAGAGCACAGAGAAGGGCTAAAAGCTCTGGCCCGAGAGCTTCCTCAAGAATAAGGGCATGGCCTTGGCCAGTAAGTGAGGCTGTGATCTCTGGAGCAAAAGTGAAGAGGCACCCAAGTGACAAACTGCAGCAACCCGTGTGCCCTGCAGCCCAGTACTGCTTCAGCCTGTCTTCTGCCTCAGAATAGCACACACCAGCAGGATGGTTCTGCTGTGAGAACCATACTGCAAAGCAAGCGTGGGCCCTCTGTGTCCACCAGGGCCCCCTTTGCCGTTTTCTTGCCTCATCCTGAGCATCCTGACTCTCCCAAGCCCTGGCCTCTTTTCCCTCACAGATTCTATTCCAAATCTCAGTCCTGGTGGCACCCAGTTCCTTCTGTCTGGCCTCTGTGCCCTCTCACCATCTAAATCTTCCTCACCCCTTCCTCCTCTAGCTTTCTCCCAGTCACCTCTCACTGCAAGAACCATGGACTCAGCATGCCTGCCTGGGTCACTGCTTCCCCCCTCCCCCGCTGGCCCCTGCCAAGACAGAGCACCATCCCTGGCACTTGAGTCCCCTAGCCAGACCTGCCCCGCCTCAGTGTGGGTGGGGCCAGAGGAGCCAGTCAGCAGCACATAGCACCAGCCTGCCTATGGAGTTAGTTGGGGTCCAGCTTTGGTGACAGCATGTAGCTCTGCATGGCCAGAAGAGAGGGGCAACAAGGGGCTCATGGGAGCTGCAGTTCCTTCTGGGTCTGTTTTCAACTCAAACCCTAAAGCATCCTGATGGAACATACATTCAGGCTGCTGCTGCTGGGTGCCTACAGTGGCTGCAAGGGTCCTTTAGCTCACCTCACCCTCCCAGCCTTGCCTAGGGAAGGTGCTATGTATTGCACACACTTCTGAGAGAGGTGGCCAAATGAGGGACTCACTGGCAAAACCTTCACCGTGTCAAATGCTCCCACACCTGGTGCTGGGCAGAGTATCACAGCGACTCTGGTCCCATTCCACAAACGAGGAAAATGGAGCCCTGCTTGATAATCTGTCCAAGGTACAAGCCGTCTGGTGCATGGCCAGGTGGGCTTGGGTCTCCGGCCTGCCAGGTGAAAGCACTTCTGACCACACACCTCCCCCCACACCGCCCGGGGAAGGGGCTGAGATCCATCTCTGTCCACTTGATCCCCACGTCGAGAGGAGGAGGCCACGTCACACTCGACTCTCTGTACCTTTCTCCCCAGGCTGCCACCCTCTCCCTAACAAGAGAGACTCCTGGCGTGGCATGAGGCAGCTTCAGAGCCAGAGGGCTGTCTTCCCCTCTCAGCCAGGAAAGCCTCCCTTCTGCTCTCAGATCCCTAGCAGTCACCAAACACACATAGGCCACGTATCGAACTCCTGCATTTTACTTGTGTAGAAAGCCCTGGCCCAAGCTCCAGGGCTACCGGAAGGTAGAGAAGCTCTGGGTGCCAGTGCAGGAGGCATAGGGCACACCCCGCGAGCGAATCTGCAGGGTGTGGAAGGTGAGGGGTGGATTGGGGCCCGAGGAGCCTGGGTTCAGGGACTCGGTGTGAGGCTCCATCACTGTCACAGGGACTGCATAGGACAGTGTCTGGGGCCGGTCATCATGGCGTCTCACTGTGCCCTTGCCCAGGAGATGTAGGATGCAGGAGAGGACATCGGTGCTGCTGCAGGCAGACCCCCTGCCAAGGCTGCTGACCAAACCCCTGGGAGGACATGGGCCCTTCTGCCAAGCCTCCAGCACCTGGTGTGGAGAGGAGGGGAAGCAGTTGGTCAAGGCACGCTGCTTACCCCACCTCCAGCTGCCACTCCGACCACAAGCTGCCAGGACAGGAGGCCGCAAGGACATTACGTGTACCCAACCTCACTCCTCACACCCACAGGCTCCCTAGTGAACCAGATGCTTCAGATGTGGCCCCACCTCCTCCTGTGTCAGACTGCCCTCCACCCCAAAGCTCCTTCACCCACTGTCCACCCCACCTACCAGACAGACAAGCTGGTCAATGTGCAGCCCCTCGTCCCCATGGGCCTTGAGGATTCGGACAATGAGGCAGTTCAGAAGGTTCCGTCTCTTCTCTAGGTTCCGGCCCTCTTCATCCTCAGCTTTCAGGTATGTCTGAGGTGGGATGAGCCACACATTGCCCCTCCTTGGCCTGGGCTCCTCACTGGCATCTCGAATCTTGAGTACCCCTGAAATAAGTGCTGGTCACTCGGTGGGGGGCCCACGAGGAGCCTGGCCCTGGCTCAGAACAGAGGCCCCTCTGTCCTAAGTGCATACCTCCTGGGACGTCCTTT